GCACGCTACATATTAAAGGTAACGTCCAGGCAGATCTGGACCTGTGGGGTTTTTACGTGGAAAGTACTTTTGGGGCCCTAAATAAGGCACTGCCAAAGCGGCAGCGCAGGTATGCTCTAACGGCTGAGATATTCCCTCGATGGACCCCGCGATCGTATCCGCATGGATTCATGGCAGTTTCGCGCCAGGATCCACGCTTTGCGCCACGAATCCATGCGAAATACGATCGCGGGGTCCAGTTTCGAGGGGAATATCTCAGCCGTTGGAGCACTACCTGCGCTGCCGCTTGGGCAGTGCCTTAGTTAGGACCCCAAAAATACTTTTCACGTAAAAACCCCATAGGTCCAAATCTGCCTGGACGATGCCTTCAACAACAGTAGCCACGTGAAATATCTTCTGTACTCAGAGTCACGCTTCTAGTCACCTCATTTCGAGATCAAGAGGAGTTCAACGTTCGAAGAGGATAAGGCCAGGAATTTGCAAAGCCTAGCAAGTCAAAATGATTAGATGAAAGGATTAAAATGCAGAAAAACTTGGTTTGAATGATGTGCTTCATCGGATCTGCGGAAAACATATACGGAGATCCTCATTGCTAATCTGCTTCTTTATGACTGTAGATGAATTTGAGACCGGGAAGATGGACTAATTCCAGAGGAACTTGCGTCCAATCTTTTGACATTTACTTTGTGAGTATCTTTTTCTCGACAAAGAATGAAATATTCGTCAAAGAATGCTACACTTTGCGTCTAGATGTTACTCGAACAAACCCATGTTTGACATTTGATTTATCGAGTCCTTTGTGTTGTAATTTTTTTCGAAATTTGCTCCAAAAATAGCTTTTAGTGCATGCGAACGAAGATTCGAAAAAACCGCTTATCGATGTTGATGTTGCAAGCATCAAAGATCGTTTTAGAGTTCATTTAGCAAATGCGGAAACAGCTATTGCAAGGCTGCAGAATTTCTCATATTCATCTTTTTGGTTCGTGCCGTGCGCCCTCAAAGAAAAGCACATCTGCAACGCTGCATTGTGATTGTAAGAAGAGTCAGAGCTGAGGACGTAAGCACGGCTGAACGTTCTCTAATGCCTCAGTTCCATTAGCATTTTCATACTGACGTATGAGGGCGAGGCAAAAACGACATAGACATATGAATTGATGCATCTGGAATTGCATTGAGCAAGTTGTTCGATCGACTAGGCTTTGCCTTTTGAGATTCAAACGCATTGCTCGCAACTTATTCTATCTCTAAAACGAAAGCTATTGAATTCTTAAGTAGCAGAGATCTTGAAGTGCATGAAAAACGACACTCTCAAAGCTGCACGCAAATTGCAAAAAATGCCCGTACGCACATTGAATAGCCAACACACACACACACACCGAGAGAGAGACGTGAGTGAGAACATTCGATGAATTTTCATGCCTCATCTCGTGTGCTGTGCGTGGTCGTCGTCGTTCGGTGTGGTGGTGGTGTGTGTGGCTGCAATGGTCTGAGAGCTAAGAACGTTTATAGTTCACTCACCGACACATCGAGCCAGTCGCTCACCAGCACCAATCGTTACGAATGCGTCCAGAATGCGGTTCGCGCTGCCTTCCCTCTGACTAAACGAAATCTTCGTGTTCTTTCCTTCGGCCTGTTCTGGTACGGCGTAGTTGAAGTTCGGTCACTGTCGGCGCATAGTTCACTATTTGGCCTTCGTCTACTTTTGTATCCCGCTCTGCGATAGCAATAATTTGTACTTTTCATGAATCTGAATTGTTTGTATTCCAATGTACAAATTTAGAACAACATTTTGTACGAATAGAAAGTGTCTAGGGAGCACGAAATCCTCTACGCAAATTGCTGAAATTAAAATCTTTCAACTGCAGTATTAGCAGATTTGTTCATATCAAGTCCTTTTTTCTAGGATGGGTCCAAGAATGATCATCTGTTCATCAGTTCTACTTTGTGCAAAGCATTCATAGCTTTACTGTGACCATCCAAAAAAGGAAGCAGTCAGATTTTTGTCAAACTAACGATTTATGATTGTGAAATGATCACTTCTCGAGATTCAGCTAAACTTTTCTAAGCGCTTTTGCAAGACTTGCTTTGCATGGCATTGCTTGGGTGGGGCTTCAATTTCAGTGCTTTCATTGTAAAGACACCTTTCCTTCTTGCAGAGAGTCCCCCATTCTAAGCACATCGCCTCTGTTTTTTGGCAATTAGCTATTATTTATGTTCAAAATTCTAAAAATTATGGAGAGATGTTTTTCAGTTTTTTTCTATAATTTTGCTTGTACCTGAGTAGAGTTGTAAATGCATTATTATGAATCATCCCTGCTACAGCCTTCTGTCGGAAATGTTTGATTTGTTTTACTTTATAAACCTTGCAAGGCTATCTCGGTCATACTTTTATTAGATAAAAGAAAATGGTTTTAGCTAGGGCATACAAGCTCCGAGGAAGTTTGCAGGGGCATCTAACAGCTTGTGATTGCAGCTTGAAATCCGTATCGTGAAAAGTGTCTTTCAGCTTTTTCATTTTTTTCCTAATTGTTTCGGCCCATACTTTGGAGCCCTAACTCTAATGTGTACCGCAATAGACAGTCAACCATCTAATCTGCGTACTTGAAGGCATTATTCCGCAAAACTTCTTGTCGCTTTGGAATAGGCGTACGAAAAATGTATATTGTCTGGAAAAAATGGCATGGGAATAGCTGGGAGCATTCTTAACTGTAAATATTGCATATTTTTCTGCGGACAGTAACTAAAGCGGCAGAATGAACGCATCTCTTTTTGGCATCGGAGGAAGCGACTGTAACAGGAGCAAAGCTGGGCGCTCAAAAATCGGTCCTTTCAGTTACGTTGATATATAGCTCTTTCACCATATATACTCTCGTATGTGGACTTATGCTGTATTTTTAGGTGAATATTACAGAACTGTTTTGAAACAATCAAGAACTCGTAACAGAAACAATCAAGAAGTCGTAACACAAATTTTGAAAATCATAATTTTTTTGTAGAAATATTCAATAACCTAGTAATGATTTTCTCTCATTTAGAAAGGAGGTCATAACGCCAGGAACAGAAATAAATCTGGGTTCAGTTGGATTCTCCAGCATTTTTTTACCGATTGAATTTGAAAAAAGCACGAATTAGTTGTTTTCCTTATCACTTGTATCGCCGCCATATATCAACAGTTTTTGCTTCAAACCGCTACTCGTCAAAAATGGGAATAGTGACGAATCTACAAAAACATCGATGCAGGACCCATGTTTCCTCCCGATATAGTGGTAATTGCCAGGAAAAGATTCAATAATAAGTTATTTACGTTTAGGCATGTTATTTCAAACCCGTTTCTATAGTTTTGTTCGATCGTCCAAAATCATTAACCTAGGGTTCAATGTACGCATGTTCTATTCACCATAACCTGCAGCATTCTAAATCGCACAATCATCGCTTGTAACGTGCCCATGATCAGTTTCGTGTGTTCCCACTTTTTTTTCTGCTGATCAAGGAACACTTTTGAAGTCAGCGAGTGATTAGTTACTCTTCGCTGTGCATAGAACGGTAGACGATCACTTCATGATTATAGAACGTCCTTCATCTGCACAGAGCGATGGTGGAAATGTGTCAGATGACACGTAATGGAGTGGTCATGACTCAGTTAATTTTGTAAAGTGCCTTAACTTACCCGTCTTTTCGGCCTTTTTCAAGCCAAACAAAACCAGTGTCGAGGCGAAGAAGTCGATGGATGACGTGCATTGGCCACGTCATCGCTTAATATGGTCATCTAGTAGATTACTTTGAAAGTTACGTAGGCTCTGCAACAAAACTGAAAACGTAAGAATTTTAGGAGCAACCTATATGCACACACCATACTTGATCCGCTTGATCACTCATCCACTTTGCTATTGACCAAATCAGTGAACTGACCAATAGCGAAGCGAGTGAAATGGGTCAATGGACACCCGCTTCGCTATTGGTCAATCAACTGATTTGACTAGCGAAAGGGACGTGGATCAATTGGGTCAAATTTGGGGCATGCCATAGTATTCAACCTACTCGAGGTCGATGTAGCTGTGCATATTATACCGTGGGTAGAAGGCGCTTGTCGCATGGGGTCCGCCTATGCTGCGACTGATATGAGCCCTATTCTGTTAAGGTGCATGTTCTGCGGCAGATGTCCGTAAAGGAGGCTATCGGCGAGTTCTTTCGCCCCGCTTGGGTGAATGACTAAAGTGTATGATAGAGGAAGTGGGGAATATAGGGTGTGGTACATTTTCATCAATTTAATTTTTGAATTTTTGGATATGGCACCACTCTTCGCCAATATGTACATGTTTTTCTCTTGCTTCGCGTTTGACAATGAAAAATTTGAAAACGCGGCCGCTGCACAAATAAACACTTTCCATCTGTGTCGTCTGTATCTGGACAAAGTCCCCCAGATCTACGCAATGCAGCCCACGCTACGAAGTTACTTTAGGGACTGTAGACATACACTCGGGTTTTATGCATGTTCAAAAGACATCAGGGTCGCATGAAAAGATGAAAAAGATGATGGAAGCAATAAAGAGGTGTGTATAGGTGGAGAGGGTATGAGCCAATGTACTTAAGGGACCCCAAGAGACAAACTAAACCGTAATGGCGATTCGGGAATATTGGCGCAGAAAATATGTCCTCTTAGATTTTCTTACACGTTCCTTTGACCATGAACTTTTCGAACACTGTCACCTGCTGTCCCTTCAAAAAAATTTCTGTTGGCTGAAAGGGAGATTTCGAGGTTTTGATTTTTCGTAAATCACAAAAACGAGGAAGCTGACCACATTCTTCAGAGGGACTGGAATTTACGGCTGCACTTTTGTATGATAGTCTCCTTTTATGCTGATACTACTATCTACTTCGTTCCACTACCTAACTGTTGACATATATCTCAATCCTTCCTCCTTACATCTGTTTTTTGACATCCTTTCTTCCCTTTTTTTTCAGTCCCTAGTATTTAATATTTCATTCTGTGCATATTTCAGGGTTTCTTTCGTCGTACGGTACTTCGTGATCAAAAGTTCACGTGCCGCTTCAAACATCAGTGCGTTGTGGACAAGAGCATGCGATGTGCATGCCGATGCTGCAGATTCAATAAGTGTGTTAGAGTCGGCATGAAAAGAGAAGGTGGGTACAGTGAAGAAATTATGGAAATGAAAAGCGTATGAAAATTTCCTCCAAATTAGATTCATTTCAGCGATACAGTTCGAACGGGACCCAACCGGTGGTAGTCCATCGAAGCGGTCCCGAGTGAGCCCGGCTCCTGGTCAGGAGCAAGCCACTGAGAACCAAACACCGGTTATAGCAGCATTAATGGATATGGAACACAGGGTGAATCAGGTCGGCTGGCCTCTGTATGAATTGTTCTATTGGGTCGCTTTTGATTTTTGGAGTTTTTTTTTCTCCGGAAGAATGTGTAAGAAAGACCACTCTTTCTTCTGCCAAATAAGGAAGGGGAGGGAGGGAGGATTGAGAAAAAAATGGTAATATTTCTTGGTTATAAAATTGTGCAGTTGTTTTTTCTTGTTCCAGATAATCTTGAATTTTGGAGAATTCGAAACAGGTTTGTAAAGAAATTACTGGAGCCTGGCCGATGTCAGGTCCACTCTAAAAACGGAGGTAGGATCATCAAAAAATAAAGCGTTCCAGAAATATTTTGCAGAAGGCGTGGCTTTATGCCCATACATTTGAAAAATCCCTCTCCGGATCACCCTCCCCTCCCTCCCCTCGAAAAAATACTCGATCGTCATTTGGTAAATGATCTTGCGATTTTGAGAGCATGCGTCAAAATATGTGGGAATCTTTTTTTTAATGAAGTAATTGATTTTAGGAGATGTGTTCCCGTTACCGTAATTCGGTCATTCAACAACCCGCTAATACTACGGGACTCAGTAGTGATGGCGAACCATCAACTTCGGCATTCTCGCAGCCGAATAAACCTTGTACGGCAGAGGTAAATAATATAACAATCGCTCATGCTATTCTTCACGTTGAATTTTTTTTCATTTGACTTTCTTCCATTTTTTACCGTCATGATTTGAAGGATCTCAATGAGATCTCGCGCACGACACTACTATTGATGGTCGAGTGGGCTAAAGCTCTCCAGCCATTCCCTAATCTCATCATGGAAGATAAGATTATCTTGCTAAAGAATTATGCTCCACAGCATTTGATCCTAATGCCAGCATTCAGGTAAGTGAAGTTTTTTTTTTGAATGATAGAATTGCTTCCTAACAGCGGGTACTTTTAGAAGCCCGGACACAACTAGGGTTTGTCTTTTCAACAACACCTACATGAGCCGTGATCAGTCCACGGAATTGAATGGTTTTGCTGCCTTCAAAACCAGCAATATTACGCCAAGGTAAATCTTTAGTGTTTGTGAGAATTTGTTTCATAAAATCTTTGTGCTTAGGGTCCTTGACGAGATTGTTTGGCCAATGCGTCAACTTCAAATGAGAGAAGAGGAATTTGTTTGCTTGAAGGTGAGCATAGGTTGTCCTTGATGTTTATGGATTACGCACAGGCAGTATGGTTCTTTGCTTGAGCTCAAGAACGTCATTTATCACATTCCTGAGCTCTGATCGGGCGCTCTGGTTTTTATGAGCGCCCAATCGGGCGAAGAACGTTTGCCTATGATATAAAACGGTAAAACAGCCCCATTAGATTTCGGGAAGTTGAAAAATAATGCTCAGAGGACCGAGTTTATTTTTACCTGATCAACTAACTGGCTCCGTAAAAATGACCGATTTTCTAGGCCCTTGCTTTTCTTCATCCTGAGGCGAAAGGGCTTTCACCTCAAAGCCAGACATTGGTTAGAGAGGCACGGAACAGAGTTCTCAAAGCCTTATATGCCTTTATTCTCGAGAACAACCGCGATGAAGCGCCAACAAGGTGAGTTCTCACGTACAAAAAGTTGTGAAGAGTGCTAGTGTTTTTTAAGATATGGAAACATTCTGCTGTTGGCACCAGCACTGAAAGCTTTGACGCAGTTGCTTATCGAAAATATGACGTTGACGAAGTTCTTTGGTCTTGCTGAGGTAAGCACTTGTGAAAGGTACAAAGTGCGCTCATATTATTTAACCAGGTGGATTCACTGCTATCGGAATTTATACTGGATGATATCAATGATCAAAGTGCTGCACCAGTAAGCCTACAAGCACATCTTTCATCTCCGACTACGCTTCCCAGTTCAATAGCATCCCAGGTAATCACAAGGGCAATAAGAAGTCCCTCTTTTTTTACGGTAGTGAACTTTATCCATGCTATATTTGTACCCATTTACTTAGATTGTATTCATGCCATCTGCACATTTTGTGCAGCGATTTATATCAACCCTCTGTCTCAATGACAGTGTGGTCGGCTCGTGCGTCTCGAGTCCATGCGGCCGCCTTGCTTGGAGCCTACACCGTGTCTGCACGCATATTTTCTGGCATTTTCACGCAAACCAGCGTTCAATCGCTGCTCTATTTGTGAAAATGTCCAGAAAATACGTTGCAGACGCTACGACTCAGACAGTTGAAGGGATACCTCCGGCGGGCATATAGCGCGAGTCTGCCACTTCGCGCTCCGGAGCCCTGCCATTTCACGCATTTTTGTGCTCCGGGGCTCTCCCAAAAGTGGCGCACCTCCGGAGCAGAGATTTGCGCGTCGCGGAGCGGGGTCCCATTCATTCACCGTGACGTCACGGTGACGTCACAAAAAGGACGAATGGAACCCCTCTCCGCGACGCGCAAATCTCTGCTCCGGAGGTGCGCCACTTTTGGGAGAGCCCCGGAGAACAAAAATGTGTGAAATGGCAGGGCTCCGAAGCGCGAAGTGGCAATCCTCCGCTGGGAAAAGCCCGCGACCCTGCCACTTCTGCTCCGGAGGTATCCCATCGACTGTCTGAGGAGGATCCAAACAGAGTTGCACTGACACTGTTATTGAGACAAAGGGCACAGTGCTAGCATTTCCTTATCGAACTGGGCTCATATAATCAAGGTGATGGCATGCACGATCACCTCGCACTGCATCCCCTCACCAAAGGGCGAAAGAGTATTTTTCTTGCCGCATTTTAACTTCGTTCTAAACGAAAATTCGTGTAGAATTCTCTTGAAATGGAGCCTATAAGTAAAACAAGCAATTCACCAAGAATCGGGTAAATCACTTGTGAAGCTCATGCTTTATGGAAGTTTTCCGAAAGAAAGTGAATTGAAAGCTGTAGCAGTACCATCTGAAAATTATTGATTGGGTGTAAGATCCAGGCCACTCAAGTAAAAATCTTCTGCATGACATATTTGTTTGATGTTATCCTAAATGACAAGTGTGAACTATTCCAGATCTCTCCACTGAGCGGGACGAACTTAATGGTGAACTCTGATGCATCAGGAAGCACTGTGATGACTATACTGTAACAACTAGAGTGTAAAAAGATAACGTAAAGATGAAATTCGGTAAAACGTGAATGCACGTAATTAGATTAGAAGTGTTATTCACGGGTCGTCAAGAGCAGATGTGCTACCCGTACTATGCTGAAGTCAGTCAAGCACTTATGGCTAGAATTGCACTGTTGGCTCCAGTGTGTCAGAGATTGTGTATGAATGATTGATTACGATGTCGTGACATATCAGTTAGTGACGTAGATATACTTGTATTGTTGTTAGCCGTTGTACACTTTAAACTCACTACAAACTCACGGAAGTATGCCTTATATACGGAAATTTAACACTGCTGTTCATTGCTGTAGTCATAGATTGTATAGATCGTCATAAGTAATCATGTACCTCGTATTAGAAAGGCATTGTCACAACCTGGTCAGAGTATATAGAAATTTTCGCAAATGTATATCAATAAATTTCGCTTACTTTTTGCGTTCTCATGCTCAGTGGATTGTACTGAAGTCTTTTTTGACGCAAATTGTAGCAATCCTGGACTTCGGGAAAGTATGGAATTTCGCCAATGATTCAGTCACCTATCATGACTTCTGGCTGCTTTTGAAATGCGCTTAAGTATAGTTCTGCGGGTTTTATGAATATGCTATGGGAAAATCCACATCATTGTAAAAAGAAATTACGAGTACGGAAGAGATTTATGTATGAAATGACAATAAACAATAAATAGCATCACAATACTCTTCAATAAGATCAATAAAATGTGGTATTTACAGTGTAATATTGCGAATGAGATCCCACCCAGCAAAGATCAGTAAAACAGACATCCTCGAAAGATGAGTGGTTCAAACTTTCTACGCAAAATTTGTGCAGGTATAAGAGACTAACGCTTTTCAGGTTCCATATTTGAAATCAGCGCCATGAGAGGGCCTATATAAGGCAGAATAATGGAAGCTTATGCATGGGATCAATAATCGTATACAAAAATTCAAACTAGTTCAGCAATTGCAGGAAGATGCCTTCCAGCACAATTGCATACTTCCTGATATTTCCAGAGATTCAAAGATCAATAAAAAGGAAAGTGGAAAAAAAGTCAATCAAATAATGAGAACATCATTGAAACTCGCAAATAACTCCTCCATTTCGTCTAACGTATATCTCGCCATCCCCGTATGCTCGTCTTCCGGCACCTCGTAGTAGAATTTCGACTCCGGTTCCAGTACAGTATTGGTCTCAGCGTTCTATAAAGTATCGCGTTTAAGATATGGTGTCTAGTGAATTTCGTCGATGCAACACTTACATTAAAGAGATAGCTATAATCGTCTGGATCATCTTCCGGACCAAAAAACTCGATCTCTTCGTTTTCCTCATTTATGTCGGACAGTTTACTCGTCGACATCAGCTAAAAATGTGATGAAGACACCATTTCGATTTACAATTACTGAAAAACAATACCTTTTGCAAATACTCCTCCTCTTGTTCAGTGTCGCGATCCACAAGCACTATACTGTCCTAGATGACAAAAGATTATGGTATGAAGGAATCTTTTTTCGTATTAAATACCTGCTGCTCAAATTTCTCAGTAAAGCAGTTGTCTTCCTCCAAGTTGCAACCCTCTATCGGTTCATCATCCTCGCTCACATTAAAATTCAGAGCCTAGAGAAAAAACTCTAACAAAAAGTATGATAAGTACCACCGAAAACGAATAAACAGTGTACTTGAAAAAACTCACGGCTATGGGATGAGATTGTGAGTATTTGTGAGTACTGCGGCCTTAAATACATATTATATTCAGATGATTGAAGCCTCTAAAGTGAATATACCTAGTGAAGCAGAGCGGTCCCTATTTGCATCAGCAATCTGCAGCTGAAACACAAGTGATTTTATGATTGAACAGGATAATCCCATTTTTTTCAGAGTTTTCAAATCAAAGTAAGAATAAGGTAACATCGGCTCACAGTATGCTTTTGGGCACTTGCAGCAAGTTTCAGTAGATTTCTTCCAGGAGTACCCTGAAAAGCAAAATCAAGACAATCCCAGCTGCATCTGCATCAACTGATTTTCGGTCCCAGTTCTTCCAGTGTATTTCCAATGCAAAAAAATCTCAGCAACTCACAGTATTCTTCATATCACCAAAAGCACGTCGAGGAGTATTTACGACTTGCTTCTTGCCTAAAATTGTAAAGCACCAAAGAAATGCAAAGGATTGTACACAAATATTACCTTGAGCTGCCAAATTCTCCTCTTCCAAGTGGACATTACGCGGTCTCACAGATGCGAGATGCATTCTAAAAATAGAAATCATAGGAGATCTTATTAGTCTATGATTACAGTTATGTCAAGAAGAATATCAGAGGAAGGTTTATGATGAAAACAACAACACTCCAAAAAAACAGAAATGCCATCCCGATCTCTAATAAAGTCACCGTAAAGTTACTTTGGTATTTTTTTCTATCAAGAAGTAGCCATACGTAACCAAGTGCAGGGAAAGTTGTACTCTAGTGTTTACAAACGTTTGGAGATAGGAAGAGAAGCAAACTAAACTGCTGTGCCCAAAACATTCTCCAAAGTGAAGTGCGCGGTATTCAAATCTCATAGTTCCCGCCTTGTAAGTTGGAGCAAGTTTGGTGCGCTTGGCCACAAAAACTTCTGCGAAGTGCAGAGGTCAATTGGGCTACTGCAACTGAAATTCTTCACAAATCCTTGCCAGATTTCGATCACCTGTTGCGATTAAAGTAAAAGAAAGAAAATTGATGGACGGGTACTTTGGTGGAGTCCTATAATAACATTTGTATGCCCATATTCAACTTAATTAATCAACCCGCAGTCTCTAGCAACATAAAGGCTGCTGCATGACGAGAAACAGAAGCAGTACTAGTTGAGCGGGCTCGAACGCTGGCGTGCGTATCTTCGCCATTGTAAATCCTGCGCCCTGTGCGCTCTGCGGCTAATGAGACCGCGTTTGCACCTGAAAGTATTGCGCCTTCGTCATGCAGCAGCCTACTATATATCAAAATGTTTCTTTCAAGGCTGAATCCAACACGTTGTGGCATGTCGCAAACAAGTTGTTTCATGTTGCCAACATGTTAGTTAGATATGCGTGCCGCAGGTCAGAGACGCAGAGTAGTGGTGCAGCAATCGTTAAGGGGACGATACACAACGTTTCCCGCGCAAATGCTGTAGGCACCGCAGGTGCAGATTTTACCTATGAATCTATAACGGTTTAAAATTTGAAGTCGTTTTGGTTTGTTCCGGTACATCTTTACCTGATTCATCCAATAGGTTCACAAAATTGTTTGTGCTGCAAAATAAACCAAAACTCTCATCTTAGGGCACATTTGCTGCAAAAGTGAACTCAACAAAAATACCAATTCTCTCAACATAGTTCTAAAGAAACCATAGAATAATTGAACTGTTCCATCATGTGTCAAGATTGATCACTCTGCGCTGCGCCGGGTGTCTGTCTCTGTCCGTGCGACAAAGGTGTAGCGCGAGAAGTCACGCGGTGTCCCGCAATGAGTGTTTACTACGGGCTGCTGGCGCTTTTGATGATTAGTTTCATTGGTTGGAATGATTTTATATTGCTGCTGTTGAAAAAGAGGTTTTCACTTTTCACTTGTTGCAAATCACTTCTTTATTGCACTTTCTAAACCAGCACGTATCTATCTTGAGACTAAGGGACTCGAAACCGCTTTGCTTACATTGTCTAAACAAGCTCGAAGTTGTTTTGCCTTGTTCCCAAGTATCGGATGCTAGAATGATATAGATTACGAGTATAAACTTGTTAACCATACGTTCAAGCGTGTTCGCACAACGCGTCCAAAGCGTGCTCTAGTCTCTTCAGTCTCGAAACGAATGATAAGTTTCTTGGTTCTTGCTTATCTTCTTTCGTTTTCTTCGCAATCTATAGAATACTATTTCCAATTCCTTCTTATTTTTCCTTCTTTATTGCCTTTTTTCGAAATCGATAACTGAATCAAAAGAATCAAAACATTGATAGCAACCTCCATTGTTTTCGATTTGCAACACTGCTGTTTGTATGTGGCACAACCAGCTGGCTTTGCATTCACAATAAACTTTGTTTGTGTTTTTCTCGTCTTGCCTATCACTACCGGGTTCATTATTTTGATAGAAAGTTGATTATTCTTCTTCAAAGTAAGTATGTTGTAGACTATTAAGGAATGGTACCGGGTCGACGTAGCGATTTGGAACGAAAGGCATCTTACTAGTTGCATCCTGTTGAGTTGATTCCATATCTAACTTCCGTATCTGCTGCGCGTTTCTTTAGAAGAAGTTTATCTGGGTTGATGGTGAAGGCTGAGAGCTTGGAGGTCGGAATTTGGCAAATATTTGGTGCCAAAATTTCAAGAAGTCGTTCAGGAACACTAATCTATGTTGCCGGTGTAAAGGCTACTGCATGATAAAGGCGCGGAAGCAGCATTAGTTGAAGGCAGCGTCCAGGCAGATCTGGACCTATGGGGCTTTTACGTGGAAAATACTTTTGGGGCCCTAACTAAGGCACTGCCCTAGCGGCAGCTCAGGTAGTGCTCTAATGGCTGAGATATCCCCCTCGATACTGGCCCCCGCGAACGTATTCGCATGGTTTCATGACAGTTTCGCGCCAGGATCCACGCTTTGCGCCATGAATCCATGCGAAACACGGTCGCGGGGTCCAGTTTCGAGGGGAATATCTCAGCCATTACAGCACTACCTGAGCTGCCGCTTGGGCAGTGCCTTAGTTAGGGCCCCAAAAGTACTTTCCACGTAAAAGCCCCATAGGTCCGAATCTGCCTGGACGCTGCCTTTAAGCGAACGCGACGCGCGCGTATCCTCACTGTTGTAAATCCTGCACCTCATGCGCTCTGCGGCCAAAAAGCCGCGTTTGCGCCCAAAGACAAAGTATTGCGCCTTCGCCATGCAGCAGCCTATATGTGTACATTCCTCTTACTCGATACACTCAACGCCATGGTAATTAGCACTCCTATGCTGGGTTTTGAAGCACATTATGCATTGGTGCCTGTATAACTCCACAATGATCGCCTATGACTCTTTCTAGACTACCGCGCAGCAGATATCGAAGTTGGATTTGCAATCAGCTCAACATAACGAATCTGTCCAGATCGGGACTTGGAGTCCTTTCCTTGTAAGATGCGGCCCTTCCGTTTATCATTTGCATAAAGCATGTCTTGAGGGCCATTTGTAGGAGAACGTGTGGCTTGCACACCGCGCCAAAGTCTTCAAAAAAAAAGGCTTCAAAAAGTGTCTTCGATGGCATGGCTAACTACGAGCCCCTTCATTTGAGACTTTTTTCGAGAAAAAATGCGGAAGTTCCCGCATAGGAACAGTTGAACTCTCTGCTTACACTTCAGGGTGGCCGTACGACCCATGAAAACCCACAAATGCAGTGGCAGGCACTTCATGCTATAACTTATTACAACTATCTTTCGGTGAACCAAAAAATCGGCGAGATGGGACTAGTGGGTTGTATTACAAGCAGAATAACTTAACATACCACGTATTTGGACAGTCACATACCACAAACCTAAACTTTCTTATAAAATTCGCAGTCCAGTGTTTTACGATTCTCCTCTTTAGTACTTTCTCAACAAAAAAGAAACTCGACCAAACTTTGTTGTATTGATGACACTTGTTGAGGCTACATATAATTTGATTAGCCTTTTAAGACTATTCTCAGCGACCATTCATTTTTTCTGTCTTTTTCAAGTCTGTTTTCCTCAAAATGGGAGAGCTTATCAATGCTACATATGAGATCACTCGGCTTGCACCACTGTCCTATGAGAACTTGTGTTTGCCCACAAGCACTTTACTTCATATTCTGCCTGAAATAGTTGTCAGAAGTATGCTCTATTTAGCAAGTGGCTCTGTCATAAACCGCGTCACCTAGAAAAATTACTGTCCAACATTCAAACAATGTCCAAATTTTTGTATTTCACTGTATAGAACGACAGTAAAGATCAGCATCATTGTATAACGTTATCTGCACATTTTGAGATGCTCTTGCAGTTTTTTTTTGACATTGGAACAATAAATCTTCGATTTATTTTCAAATCATAATCATTGTATTATCACATCTTTCTTTTGTGATAACTTGTTATCCGAATCATAGCTGTGCTACATGGTTTTATAAGACGTCTTTTGAAAAATTTGTAGAATTTAGGTAATCTAAAAATTCTTACCGCCGGTTTTCTTCGTAAAAAATGTTTTTCTCACGATTCCCAATCTTTATTCGACTCGCAGAGAGGTGGTCACGCCTCAGCTGCTGCATTGAACTCATATTCTTAGGTTTTATGCAGCAGCTATTTTTGCTAATCCTTAAAATTGAACTCTCAAAATATACTTACAAATCTGCACCGTTAGGGTGCAACGTCCGTGATGTGGCTCAAGATCTGGTTTAATATATAGGAAAGAAATTTATTTAATGGCAACAGGTTTCCGCTGTTAACCGGAAGATTTTTGTTCTAAATGCTGAAAAGGCATTGATTAAGATATCAGTCAACTGAGAAAGCATTTTTGTGGTTATATTGGTAACGTTCCAACTGTTTTATTTACCTTACCATTTTCATCAAACCAAAAGCATAGTGCAAAATTTCGTGTATAATTTTTGCATAAGTATCATATGCAGGAAAACAAACAGCAGTGCTGTGCATTTTCAATAAAATGCGTTTTTTTTGCTGCCGTGAACATGTGTATGGACACTTTACAGAAATTTTTCAGTTGCTCATTTTTTACCAGAGAAATAGTCTTATTTTGTAGATTATCTTTTTTTCTTTGAATTTTGATGCCTTATTTGATACTTATCTTAAACTCATGTTTATTTAATCGTGATTTTGTTAACAGTGAAATTTCAATTCTTTTTCAATCACGCAAAAGTTGGAGCCATTCAAGCGAAGGTTCACATTTTGAATTTTTGGTCTTTCAATAACACACAACATTTCGGTGCATATTTGGCGCGAAGTACTGCGTCGCGGACGCGCGGCAGGCTCTCTTTGGCGCATTCTCATTTGGAATGGGCTGTGAACGCACATATTCAAGTTCATCGCTGATGTGTTCCCCAGACGCTTTGAATCTAATGCTAGCCCTTTGCAAGCAAAGCTTGTGCTTCTATCATCGTCACACATTCATTTCAAGATCCACACGGTAGATAAGAAAATCTCCTAAGCCTGCGAAGGTCGCTGTGCAGATGATAGACAACTGAAAGAAAGCAAACGCGCATGGCAACGTTGCGATCGAGCCAACGTTCACATCGCAAGTGGTTGTGTAAAGTCGAGACATTC